TGGGATGGTGAAAAGTACAACTGGACACTGGGACAGGAATTGGCAAAGTTTTGTAATAGCCGCCAAGATGACTGGGATGTCTTACTCCTTCCACTGTTGATGGCCTATAGGACAGCATAACATGAAACCACTGGGATCCACTGGCAACCGAAGTTCCCGAACAAACATTAACTTTGCTGGAGTGTATGTGTTAACAGAACGCCCACCTTATGAAGAGTTTCCTGAGAATGTGTCAGAGTTTGTGAAAGTGTTATCGGAAAGGATGGATGATATCCACCATCAAGTGCGTTCAAACTTGAAAACGTCTGCTGATTCGATGAAGTTAACTTATGATAAGATATCTACTGAAGTCAGCTTTGTACCAGGAGACAAGGTATGGTTGTATAATCCCAGGAAGACCAAAGGGAAGTCTCCTAAGTTGTCTTCTCCATGGGAAGGCCCATATGACATAGTGGATCGACTCTCAGACGTGACTTTCCGGGTAAAATGTGGTCGGCGAGGTAAGCCAAAAGTGGTACAGGACATTTCAGTTGGGACGAAGTGAACAACAAAACAAATGACGCTGCTGAAGACGTGTCACCTGAAAAAGCTACTGTCGAAAAAGAAACACTACTCAGTTTTGAGAAGGGTAACAGTGAAGCCCTTGATGAAGTTACTACCACTGTTGTGACTGTTACTGATGATAGGACATTTCCTGATGAAGCAGATGAACCCCACATGAAGCAGAAGCCAACGAGATGGAGACCAGTACGGAAGAAGATGCGTCCCGTTAAATTAAGATACTTTGTTGAATTGTAATTTTGTGTTTGTAAATTCTGTACATTTAATTAAGTTATTGTTAATTGTTTATTGGCTTAATGTAAGGGTATATTGTTCGGGACAAACAATACCTCAGGAAGGGGCAGTGTTACGACAGCGGGGGTCACGTGACACTAGTAACACGTCATAAACTTCTAGAAGGATACTGTCCCTTCCTGAAGTTTCGAGAGGCAATTAGATATGCAGTAATCTTGTATGTATAAACCGCCAAGAACTGACGGCAACAATGTAATTGACAGTTGAGTCGAGCACGTGAGACATTCGTTGTGAATCATAGCGTTTGTTATAGCGCGACTGTGGAAATTAGGTGTATTGCAAAGTGCAGATCAACGGATGTAGCAACACTCACTGGAGTCTGGACTTTGTTGTTTCCAATCGTCATTTTATCGAAGTTAACTACACACTTCCTCGGTTGTAGATAGTCCAATCCTAATATGCATTGGTCTTCAATGTCAGCCAAGTATACTTTCTGTCTGTTTTCATGCCCATCAGCTCAATAGTTACCCACACTGGTCCCTACAACCTTGCAGAATGTCCTGTCACACCACAGAGCTTCTGTACAGCTTCTGGTACTCCTTTGTTATCCAGCATCCTGATGCTCACAAGGGTCTGCTGAGATGCAGAATCTA